ATTGATTAAAACTAGTTGAAAAAAAACAAAAATAAATAGAAGTCAAGGAATATTTTTCAGGATGGAAAGAGACTACACTGTAGGGCTGAGCACACTGGTTCAGAAAAACTGAAAATCCATTCATCAAAACTGACTTGAAATGTCAGTATTAGAATAAGGAAATTTACTGGCAGAGGGGCATGGGGCCATGCAGCATTTTGTTGGGAAGAATATGATTTATTAATTCCCTAAACCAGGATGTCAGTATTTAGCTATGTTTTCCCCCCAATTCGAACATACTTTGTGATCTCAGCTAAGTCTTAGTCTCTTTGTGCTTCCAGATATTGGAAAAAATGTTTATAGCTACCCATCTTTGTGATGCACTTTGATATTTTCAGATGAATAACTCTGTCTCAGCCAAATCCAGTGTCTGATGATCACTTACTTCAGTGGACCTTGGGTAATTACTAAGTATTGTTTATTAATTAAATTCTACCCACCCCACCCATCATTGCCATTCCTCCCCGGCCTCTCGAAAAAATCCATCCTGCTGTTGCATATCCCATTGGCTCTGACCTTAATAGGGTTCTGCCTCTGTGTTCTCTTTTAACTCTGTTGCTTTCCTTTCGTTGTTTGTGTGTCCTTATTTAATTTAAGGTTAGACACTATGCTGTGTGAGTTCAGTTCTCTGGTGTTTTGTGTGTGCTTTTCTTTTATTTCTGCTCACCAGTTTGCTTTGTTTTCTTCATACAAATCACATTTAATTTGAGAAAACTTTCACTTTCTTTTCCTTAAAATGTGTCAGCTTCATGTTGCTTTCTCTGAGATGGTGGGGTCAATCTCAAAGGAATGTGCTGCTGTCACTGGAATTAAAGAATTCAGAAAGGATCACTCAAAAACATAGCTAACGAGGATATGAACAATGAGGCTTTATATTAATTAAGATAAATAGCATGTCTGCATGTCAGCTCAGCAAGATCTGAACTCCTTTGTGAGCAGCTAGCATCTAGGACCTTCTCTTGGTGGAATACACCTCAATTCTGGTGACGTAATTTTAAAGAGACAGTACACTTGATACTATAGTAGTGCTTTGGATTGGCTTGTGGGAAGTTGAAGTGTGATTTTTCTTTCCGGAGTTGCAAACTCTGAAAGCTGTGAAAGCTTAACCTTCATCTCTTGGTGAGAGAGTGTGCTTCACATTACATAGCCTAACAATAACTATACTGCCTTATAAATGGGTGCTGATTAGCTCCGAAAAGAGCCCTCCTTCTCCTTCAGCTTAAGCGTGGTGGCTGCTACTTGTCATCTTCATGGTATTTATGGCATAGAGGAGGAAAAATATAATCATTTTGAATCTTTACTTTGGAGGATTTTTGAGGACTAATATTAAGATGATTCTCTTCGTACCTCTGTTAAAATTCTCTAAAGTACAGATTTTGAATAACTGGAGAAATTGCACTGTGAACTAAATTCACTGTGAACTACATTCTTTATCTTTGTTTAAAACTCATGGTGGAGACTAAACTGGCTTTTGTTACAAATGTGCATCTGTATATGTACATGCTAGATATATATACATATAGTTATATCTATAGATATAGATATAGATATAGATATGCTGTATATGACATACGGCATCTGACAAACTCAAGGAGACATTTCAGTTTACAGTCTGAGTTCACAGTGGAGGAAATAATCCAGGGTATCTAAATTACTAAAGCCAATACAAACATTGATAAATCTTCCTCAATATATGGAAGTGTGGTTCTTTTTTATAAATCACTGTGGTAGTATCTGGGCAGTCTCTATGAGTGACCTTCTTTTTTTCTTTAGACATATAGTATTTCATAATACATATTTTTTCCTTTTTGTTCAGTGAAATCATTTAAGTTTAAAACAAGTGAATACCAACACTTTAATATACAACAGAAAGCTTTCCAAATAAATATACTGTGTGCAACTGTGTGCAATGTACGCTCTTATCAGCAAGTATGTGCTGTGTTTCATATTTTCCTCTCTATTATGTGGCTCGGAAGACATTAAATGAGTCTAAGCTCTATCTTAAATGTTCCAGGCCAAGAGATAATGTGAATGGAAATAGACCAATGTCTCTGTTGGAAATACCATACTGCAGTGTGTTGTGCTTTTAAACTACCTTTCACAAGGAATCTGTTGGAAATAATCTAGAAATCTTTAACTAGATATCCTGTAGAAATATCTCTTACTGAATGAATGTGGTTTTTTAAAGTATATTTGCAGTTTTTGTAGTTTGTACAAAAGTTATTTTAGTAACATTGGGCACTGTAATTCACTGAATCCACTGAAAAGATAGCAAAAACTTTGAGATAACATGAACATGGTTTCAAAGCAACATGCACATTGGTTTTGACTACAAGTTTTAGCTGAAAACACTAATGATTTAGCTACGATGAGGAAAGGTCTAAATCATCACTGTTTCAGAAAGCCCTTGACATTTTAGCTAATGAAATGAGGCACTTTTGCACTTCTTTTATTTTAGTAATAAGATGAAAAAATTAACTAGTCATTGGAAAGAACCTACTACATTTGAAAACACTGGATATATATATATGGTTCAGTATCCAAGCTTCAATAATTTAACATTAGTTTCGTTCAAATGATCATGGCAGAGAAACGACATTAAAATAAGCATGTACCAAAATTTACCTAACAAAACCAAGCCAAGTATTTCAAATAAGTGGTTTTTTTTAAGTTTTCCCAATTACCACATGTAATTATCCACTCCTTTCATGTAAAAACCCCATGTGTGGGAAAAATGTACTTGGATAAAGATGTGTTGCTCTTTGAAATACAATTATGCCACGTTCTCTTAGGGTATGTCTACACTGCATTCCTCTTTCGAGAGAGGAATGCAAATGCAACCAAGTGAAATTGCAAATGAAGCGCGGATTTGAATTTTCCGTGCCTCATTTGCATAATGACGTCCGGATGCTTTTTCGAAATACCCTATTTTGAAAGAAAATATGCAGTCTAGAGAGGGTTATTTCACAAAAAATCCTTCCTTTGAAATAACCCTTAAACCTCATTTTTAAGGAGTAAGAGTTATTTTGAAAGAAGGGTTTTTTTTAAAAAAATAACCCCATCTAGACTGGGGGGGGGGTTTCAAAATAGGGTATTTTGAAAAAGCGCCTGGGTGCTATTATGCAAATGAAGCCCGGGAAATTCAAATCCGTGCTTCATTTGCAATTTCGGTAAGCTGCATTTGCATTCCTCTCTCAAAAGAGGAAGACAATGTAGACGTACCCGAGAGGTAAGGATGGCATCACTTCAGAAAGAGCAGGAGTCAGACCCTATAATTCTTCTGTTGCATAGGCCTCCCCTTTTCATAAACCCTAGAGATTCCTCATTAAGTGCACATACCTTTCAAGGAATCCTTCTACATTCTTCCCAGCCTGTCTTCTGTGCTACCCAATAGCAGACAGTGCAGCCAATGTTGATGTTGCTTCACTTACTTGGCTATGTACTCCTACCCCAACACAATAGGAGTTCCAGCCACTTAACCGGGTGAATGCTATTACTAGCCTCCACAGTAATTTTCTGTGTACTTTATGGCCCTTTCTCAGGGCCACACACTGTGGTTCCTTTCTGGCTCTTTTCCACAGCAGCCACACACCCTGATTTCCCATTGTCCAAGTGAAGGGGGCTACCCTTGGCTACATAGTTCAGACTGGTATGCCATCTCTCTTTTCCCCCTGTGTGTGCTTTCTGGCTTCATTAAACTGGTATTTGTGTTCTTTTGCTCCCCTCTGTGTTGTTTAGTGAGGGGAGCATATGGCCCCATGTTATTAACAAACAGTTTTTGTGCTTAATTCAACACAGCCATGAAATGGAAAGTCTGTAATCACCCCACAGGGAAATCATGAACTCTTGTGTGGGTCACATGAAAGCACCAGGAATTTCAGATGTGATAGTGCTACTTGCATATTTTCCACAGATCTAACAAATGTCTACATGCATCAATCTTCAAAGCTTCCAAATAATATTTGAGATTGGGGCTTGAACACAGTAAAATAGCTTCAAAGACAAAATCACGCAATACAGATTCACCAGGAGCTCAACTTTTACTGTGTCATCAGTGACCTCTGTGCCTCATTATTTCTTTCCTTGCTTAGTCTAAGAAAACATTATATTGCACTAGTCCACTGAAATGAAAAGGCACAGGGTAAAAAAAAAAAAAAAGATTTGCAGGGGTTACTGTGTACTTAATTTTGGCCCAGACATACCCAGGTATGTCAAACAAAAAAGACTTCCAATTGAAAAGTAGTAGTTCTGCAAACTTCAGATCAATTTGGTATGGATTTTTGTGACCTTTATGGACTTTTCAGTAACTTGATCAACTCCAGGCACTATTACTTCTCTTAGAGAAAATAATTGGATCAAAAAGGACAAACTCATTTAAGAAATGGCTTTTTAAAGGGACATTTTCAAGTCAAATTTGACCCCAAATTTAGATTTCACTTAAAAATACTGTGTCCATAAAACTTATGATCAATTGAAATGTTACCATGCAGTTTATTTTATTTCCTCTTCAGTGTTTCAACCCAACTTTGCAGCATTTTATTAATGCATGTGAAATTGACCAGAACCAAAAATTCAACTGACCAGAGTCTAATTTTATTCTCCATGCCAAGAGAAATGTAAAAAAAAATAAAAAGAAAAAAAAGGAGGAAACAGCATAAAGAGCAAAAATATAATTAGTCTTTTAACATTTAGATGAAATCTTGGCCCCCACTAAAGTCAATAGCAAAATTCTGATTGATCTTACAAGGGCCAGGACTTCATTTTGGTTTGAAGAAGAGAAGTGTTCTTGACATATCAGGAAATTAGTCTTATTTTTAAAATATAATTTTTTGTTATCAAATTATGTTAGCATAAAATTAAGTAGACTTTTACCCAAAATTTATGCTGAACCAAAGTAATATGTTCTCTGATTTAATCTAAATTAATTTTTGTTTTAGTCAGTTTGATTTTCTTTTTTTTTCTGTGCATCTCTATAAACTGTTTTATTTCTGCCAAGATTAGAAACATTAGGTGAGAGAAGGCTCTTGCAATATTTCATAAAACCAGACAACATCAAGTCTCCCATGAAAGCTCTTTTCCTGGGATTTCTAGAGAGCAGGGATTTTGATAAATGAAGATAAGCTTTGTAAAAGAATTTGAACTTTAGCAACACTGTCTGAACCAGACCATTTCCAAACCTTTGACATTCATCCCCAAAAGTTATTCTTGCTTCTACATATTCCTCTAAACAACACACAATATTGATAGCAGTATTCTGGCACTTTCCTTACCTCTACTTCTTAGATGTGATAGATGAGCAGAAAAATTCTTTCAGAGAGAGCACTAATATGACTGCATGGAGCGTCCTGGAAGATATGTGTGGATGAGAGTCTCTCACAGTGTCTTTCACCTTCAGCCAGACTGCATCCCTTGTATAACCCCATGCCTTCTAACTCAAGTGCATTCCTAAATTTAGATCGCCCCAGCATTGGCACAGCAACAGGCTGTTGTTAACATCCAGACCTAGTCTAAAGTGGTATACTTTCTGTATGTTAACAATACTCTTACCTCCCCACTGGCTGCCCTCAAGAAGTACTTGACATCACAGGTAGAGAACAAGGAAAGCTGTAGAAGCAGGTGAAGGCAATTCAGCCCAATATTTTTGTTTGTTTGTTTTATTTGTATTAAATCCACCTTCTTGCTTTTTCTGAAATTTTTCAGTCCCCGTGTTCTTCAGAAATAATCAATCAATTTTCCAGTATCCTATTCTGTCTGTTATTTATCCTTCCTGTATTAGTACCAACCCTGGAACTTTCCCTTGCAGCAAACCCAGTTGCCAGCTTTGTCCACGTACTCACTCTGCTGATACCATTATTAGACCTAACCAATTGAGTTATAAGATCAAGAACACATATTCCTGCTCATCCAGAAATATAATTTATGCTATCATGTGCCTAAAGTGTCCGTCTGCTATGTACATTGGACAAACATCTCAGATACTTCACCAAAGAATCAATGCCCACAAAACAGATATTAGACAGGATCACACAGAAAAAACAGTTTCTTGCCATTTCAACCAGAAACGGCACTGTCTCAATGACTTGATTACCTGCATCCTGCTTCAAAGACCTTTTAACACCAGACTTGAAAGAGAATCCTCTGAACTGTCATTCATGCTTAAATTTGACACTTTATGCCTCAGTCTAAACAAAGAGATTAATTATCTTACCCATTACAAAGATAGCTTCCCCAATTATCACCTCTAATATCATTAGCTCACAGACATTTACCTCCCTCCCTCATCCCCCTTCTGTTCTGAAATTTGATTTGTCTTTTTCATATGTGTTCATTTTTTTTTGATTGTATCCTTTGGTATATTTGGTATATATGGTGCCAATTTTCTTCCACTATTTGATCTGAGGAAGTGGGTCTAGCCCCTGAAAGCTCATCACCTAATAAACCATCTTGTTAGTCTTTAAAGTGCCACATAGTCCTTTTTTTTTGTTTCAGCTACACCAGACTAACACGGCTACATTTCTATCACTATTTCACAATTCCCTATATCTCTATTTTCTGGTTCATGTACCTTCTGACTTCCAACTCCCCATTCTCTACCAGTTGATGCATATACCCTCACATGGCATTTAGTCCTTCATGTTCCATTTTGGTTATGTTTGTGTTTGGAAGAACCTCAACACAGTCCATGCTCCAGATGTGGCAAATTTTCTCTTGGCAATAGACATACTTCTTATGTATGGTAGTGGACATTTTATTATAGTAGAATGATGGTGATGGAAAACAATTGTGTTAGTATGGGAATTGTCCCAGTCCTACAGGCTCTCTTGTGAAGCCCAACTTCCCGAAGGCATTTCCCTCCCTTTTTGATGCAGACATTCTGAGGGCCTGTCCTCTGCATATTTGTGCAGGAGGAAGGGAAAGCTGAGTTGGAGTTCACTACTTTTTTCATTGTGGAGCAAGTACCCTGCACTTTGCCACAGGAGTACATTTGCCTACAGGTGGGATGTGGTAAGAATTCTAGAACTGGGATCTGCAGATAGGACGAGGTGATAGTTTCCTGCCTGCGGAGACACAGGCAGCTTGATCAGAGCACCACAGGAATCTCTGAACTTGGCAGATCTGATTGGTGCTCCGCTTGCACTTCCTACCCTCAGGCACCCTGAAAAACCAATGGCAAGAGATTTTGTGCTGTCTAATGCATGGATATGATGCATGGTGATCCCAAATTGCAGTCACGATGTGCCATCTCGCAAAGGAAACATTAACACAATGGCTGAACATGATGTTAAAGTCACTCTCCAGTTCTTCCAAGTTGAGCATCAGTGGTTTAAATAATGGTCCAGATCTTGACAAGCAGACTGATTCCTTTTGTATTGTTCTAGTGACTGAAAGGGAACAGAAAGCATCTGAATTTCCCTAGCGGTGGAGTCTCAATTGCTCTTGTTTTAGACCAGAGGGAATGAGAATTGTAGAAAAACAGGCCCAATTTAAGTGGAAGGTCAGCACAGTTGAGAATGTGGCCTTATATAAAAAGTCATATGCTCACATGTTTGATGTGACTATGCACATTTGTTTTTCCTCTAGTACTGTCCATATTGCGTACTGCACACATTTTTGAAATTTGCATTGTTTGTTCAGTGTCCTAGTTAAACATATGCTTACAGATAAGCAAATCATTACTCCATTTTAATACAATGGTCAACTTAAATTTAATCATGATTAATTGGGGGCTAAATAGGGGACATGAGGCACAGACAAGCAATTGGGTGAAACAATTTGTAGAAAAAACACAAAGGACTCATCTTTGGTGTTCTGAAGAAAATAAGAAATGCTGAAAATGACCAAATATATCTAAAATTGATTAAATCTTGAGATAGTGCTCAGCATTTAACCATGAATTTATCATGTCTGCTAGAAAGTATGAACCAATTTGGTTCAGTAAGATTCCTTCATGTTGATAAAGAAGTCCCCAATTGTATTCAATGTACTCTTATTTGTGAAACCAGTTCACAAAGACCAGGAGATTTATAACTTCTAAGAAAATGTCTATTTTTGTATCTGTCAAACACATATTTTTCTTGACTTCTTTAATTTCTAAAAGCGTGCTGTACAGTATTTGTAATTAACTTTTTTTTTTGCATTCCCTGTTTAAGAATGTTCTTTTTTATATATGTTTTCATGCAGAAGAAAAGCCTCTTGTGATCGCTAAGGAAGTGAAAAGTAAGTAACTTCTTTTTTTTCTTTCTCTTGATGTTAATTTATGCAAGGGCTAATAGCATATTTGTTGCTTGGATCTGCTAAATTCAGAAAAGCTTCTACTCTGGAACTATTTTCAAGGAATGAAAGAGCTCTTGCTTTATGGACCTGTGATGCAATTTGCATGAGCTATTCCGTATAACAATATGGGCTGGCTTCTTGTATACATTTGTAATAGCAAAGCATCACAAAATAAACAAGCTATAGCTCTGCTAACTCAGCTGATACTCATAACTACAGGCAGTCCCCGGGATACGTACAAGATAGGGACTATAGGTTTGTTCTTAAGTTGAATTCGTATGTAAGTCGGAACTGGCTCCAGATTCAGCCGCTGCTGCTGAAACTGGCCAGGGGCTGACTACAGGAAGCTGGAGGCAGAATTGCTCTGCCCCCAGCTTCCTGGAATCAGCCACTGATCAGTTTCAACA